AAGACCTCACTTCTCTCCGCCGGCAGAAAAAAAAAAGTCAACAAAAGATGGGGACCAAGTGGCCTCTTTCTCTCTCTTCGACGCCGATCTTTAATATCAAATCATAGACCCGCGTCTACGGCTGTTTCTCCCTAACGGAGATCAGATCTTCTTATTCTCTTCTCCTCTTCTTTTCTTCATCCTCTCTTTTTCCCCTTTGTTTTCCATTACCCTTTCCCGGAGATACGTTCTCCGATATCGTTCATTATTACCCTTCGACTTTAATCGCACGCGTTTAATTACGAAAACCGCAACGCGACAACTCAATCAATTTTATACTTGCGGTCAGAACGGAAAACCTAGATAATAGACACCCGCGCGTTCACAGACGCGCAAAACAACCAACAGAATGGTGTACATCCGGCAACACGAATTGGCGAATCTCAAGAACTACAAATATGTTGGAGTCGACCATTCGCCTGTTAGTCAATATATCCTGAAGCCGTTCTACAGCAAATGCGTGATTCGCTGCTTCCCCATGGGGATGGCGTAAGTATACTCCCTCTCTTTACTTTTACTCCCCGGACTTTGTGTGTATGGGTTATAAGTACTCGCGCTGGTGCCCTTTTTTGCATACTACTACGATGGATACAATATTCTTCCTCTCGTCCCATCCAATTCCAGACACTCTATGCACAGCGCAATATGACTGACTCGATTCTTATACTCTTTGCGCGTTTAAAGACCCAATGCTGTAAGTCTTGTCCATCCGACATTGTTGCGATTTCTGGAGTATACAAAAAGATTCTAATCCTTCACTTCGATAGATCACCCTCACCGGATTCATGTTCGTGGTAATTAATTTTATCACCGTTATGTGGTACAACCCAAACCTGGACACGGACTGCCCGCCTTGGGTCTATGCCAGTTGTGCGATCGGCTTGTTCCTATACCAGACCTTCGATGCCGTAGATGGCATGCAGGCGTATGTCTACAATTCTCCCTCGAACAATTGAGTGGCGCTTTACTGATACTGGCTGCGCTTTAGACGGAGGACGAGACAGAGTGGCCCGCTGGGCGAGCTCTTTGATCACAGTGAGTTCCCGAAGACAGTACGAAATAAGAGTGAAGTATGAATTGCTGATTCTTTTTTTTCTACTTTCTAGGTGTCGATGCATGCAATACCGGTCTCAGTGTCTTGGTCTTCGCGGCGGCAACGAACATGGGCCAGTCTTGGATGACCTTCATCGCTCTATTCGGCTGTAAGCTCAGCCTTCCCATACCCTTCCGAACATAAATCGTCTCTGACAATCGCAGCAACAATGACCTTCTACGTCCAAACATGGGATGAGTACTACACCCAAACCCTCACATTGGGCGTGATATCTGGTCCCGTCGAGGGCATCCTCACCATATGCCTTGTCTACATTATCACCGCCTACATGGGCGGCGGCAGCTTCTGGCACCAGCCCATGCTGGAGACCATCGGTGTGCCGAAGCCTAGCTCCCTCCCAAGCCAAATGTACAACCTGCCCTTCACCTATTGGTATCTTGGGTATGGCTCACTCATGCTCTGCTTCGCCATCGGCTCGAGTATCATGAATGTCATGAAAGTGCGTCGCGAGCGAGGCCAGGACCCCTTCTCGCCGCTGTATGGCCTCCTGCCTTTGGCGATTATCTGGACTCTCATTCCCGCCTACCTATACCTGCAGCCGGTGATTTTGGAAAACTACACCATTCCCTTCGGCGTGTTTGTGAGTCTCATCAATGCCTACTCTGTCGGCCGCATTATCATCGGCCACCTCACTCAGACGAGTTTCCCCTACCAAAATTTCCTGATGTACCCGCTCGCTCTGGGTGTTTTGGACAGCTTGGGTGCGCTGATCGGCTTGTGGTCCGCCCCTGTGCTTGGGCATGGTGTTGGGCAGGTGGCATTCACGTTCGGGTTATTGGGACTGGCCGTCGGTGTGTACGGTAGCTTCGTGGTATGTTCCCCCTGATCTTTCCAAATACGCGCGACGATTTGCTGATTTCCATTTCCTTCAGTTTGACATTATCACCACGATATGCGACTACGTCGATATCTGGTGCCTCACAATCAAGTACCCGTTCGTGGAGGAGACTGAGCGCAAAACCGGTGTGTCGAAGAAGACCAAATGAAAGGCTTATTGGCGCAATCCGGAGTGTTTGGTGGGCTTGTGGATGAACAGCAGTTCAACCTCGATCATCACAGGCGAGACAGCTCAATTGAGCTAAGTGAGAGAGAGTCGGGTATCAGTCGAACACTTGAAAAGAGCGTTGGACATAATGATGCCTGGCTAATGACGTTTTCCAGTACATAATTTAGTTTCCTTTCAGCACAGAGCAAGTAGCTCGGAGTGGCGTTCTAGCGATAGAATATGAGAGTTGTAATATTGCCGTTCCAAGGTTGTTTTTGGAGATTGATGTAGAAGAATAAATAATGAAGCACCTGACTGCCTGCCCGCAGCGGAATCCACGTCTCCACACGGAACCAGCGATTGAGCTCGTGCTTACCTCAGTAGCTTACCTAACCAATCCATGATTGGTGGAAAGTTCGCCGCCTTCCCGAATAAGGACAAGCGAGGGCACAAAGCGGCACAAAGCCCTACCTCCACCCAAACCGGTCCAAATCCCTTCAGACTTCTCTTGGAAGACCACCTCATCCGCATCACACAAGGCCATCGCCATCAGCGCCATTAATCAACTATCTCGCTGATCGACTTTCACTCGTCAAGATGGTAAGCCCATTTTCGCCCTAATTTTCCGCTCGGTCCCAGTTCGATGCGATACACATGGACATGGGAGACCTATACGGATTATCGATTCCAAAAATTCAACGTCCACCGACGCTAACATGCTGTCGATAGGTTCTCGCGGTCGATCTCCTCAACCCCACCCCCCCAGGCCGAGGCCCGTAAGCACAAGCTTAAGGTATGAAACAACCTACCTCCGAAAGAAACGCGAAAAGAGATGTGAAAATATCAACCCCACGAAGGGGCGAAACCCTGGATATTCGACCTGGACCTGGACCTCCGATGCTCGACATGGAGCAAATGGGAAAAGGCACCGAACGACAGGGAATCTTTTTTTTTTTGGAAATTGGAAATGTTGGAAGAACAATGATGACTGATTATCGAATCTCTCCGCCTACAGACCCTCGTGCCCCAGCCCCGCTCCTTCTTCATGGACGTCAAGTGCCCCGGTTGCTTCACCATCACCACCGTCTTCTCGCACGCCCAGACCGTTGTCATCTGCGCCGGTTGCTCGACCGTCCTCTGCCAGCCCACAGGTGGCAAGGCCCGTCTGACCGAGGGCTGCTCTTTCCGCCGCAAGTAAACGAGAAACGAATGAAAAGCTTTTTTTCTTGTTATGTTCCGGTTGAAACGTCAAAGAGAGAATTAGCATGGAGAAATTAGGATGAAAATACCAAAACCCGGGGTTGACCTCTTCTTACTTTTTTTTTGATCGTCTCGGCTTCGGTTTTCGGTATTTCGGGGAGAGAGTTGCTTATTCGGGTCCAGTTCCATATACTGGGCTTTTCTCTCTTCCTACCGGGCTTCAAAATGTCACATACCAAACAACCCTTTTTTCAATATCACCCTTCCCCTACCGAACCACAAGGACGGACTTTTTTTTCTTTAACTGTTGTTTTCGACTGGTGCTGGGTTTGAGGGGTGCGATTTGCAAATGATGTGATATGGTTCTTTCCCCATACTATATCAAGTGTGCTGAATCCCCTCTTGAAGAAGACAAAATTTGAATGTGGCCTTTTGGGACCCATTTCTCATCCTATTTTCCACCCATTGCCTGTTCTTTCTTTTGCATTTCACGGTGATGATTAATATCTCAGCGTTGAATTCTTGTTTTCCTTTGCGCATGATGACAGATAGAAGATGGAATGCCCCGACCCTGTCAACGACCCCCAAAAAAGCATTCGAAAAAAAAAGCGACTAGCATTCCGCTAAGGGAGTTCCGGATATCTGGCACAAAAAAGGCACCTTGCTAGACTTTGTGCTCTGTTTTATGTTCTGATTTTCTGCTTCCTTGTGTTTAATGTATTAAATGTATCTGCGACTACTGTATATTGGGTTCTAGACTCTATATCATGGGTTGTACCTTAAACGGCTGCCAACTGTAGATGTATAGCCGTAGCTCTATACTGCCGAACATTACATACCGTTATGTTATATGGATTGTCATGGTATATCAAATGTGCTACGATCCAGCTCGAAAGGGGACTCCCGACCAACCAACTCGCCGAATATGGGAGCTATGATACATAGATCCAAGCCGTATCGTTCAGCCGTCCAAATTTAGAACTACGATTGACTTATGCACTCAATGCCAATACTGACGAACTCGACCTCGCTGCAAGAATAGCTTATAAAAGTAGTGACCAGCTACTGACAACGCGAGCTTCTCATCTTAATCGACGGGTATGAATATGCTCCCTTACTACCTGAATATCCCGACGATGATCAACCATCTTACCACTTCGCGTCTATATTTACCTAGTTACATAGTAGTTAGTTGTACCCCAAGATCTTGAGAATGCGGGTCCCGATAGTTCCCCACTTGCGCACTACGCTTCTGTGCTTTGGTATGTATAGCTCTAGAGGTCTAAGGTAACCGAGCTTAGAAGATAAGATGGTTGATGGTTTGTCGTCTTGTCCGATACTCTATCTTGTTTGAATATCCTGGCTAACGCTTGTGGAATCTATGCAGCTGCGGTTTATCTATCAAGGGTTATTATATCCCGTGAATACCAGAAGAAAATTTAAAGTACTCCAAAGAAACCGAAGCCACAGTTTCATTCAAGATTGTATGTAGATATGGGTATTTCATGATAAGTGTTTATTTGTGTACATGAAGTCACTGGACGAAAGGTACCAGAAACCAAAGACCAAGCAGAGAGCAAAGGCCGGCCAAACTCGTCCTGCTACTCCAATCCCATTGAATGAATACGTATGAATTCATAAGAAAACCAAGTATTAAATGCCTTACTGAGACAAAATGAGGGCCTTGTTCTTGATCTCCGGGCCAAAATCAGCAGGGTTGGAGGGGTCGCCGCCAGTCATCATGGACAGCTTGCCAGACTTGTCATTGATGAGCATATTGGCAAACGCATTGCGGCCTTCAATCTCGCTAACGGCAGTCTTAGCACCGTTGTCACCAGCAGCGTACTTGTCGGCGTCGACGGCCTTCAGCTGGTTGTGGCTGTTGCGGACGAAGTCGTACAGGAAGAAGATAGTTGGATGGGTGCTAGGGGGCTGGCACTGGGGGTGGGATTCAAAGGCACTGTTCGGACTTGTTAGCAACATACCGTATGTTTCTACGATATAAATTGTTGAGGGGTTCAGAAAGATGTTGCGTGGTGGGGTTGCGAGGTGGGGGAGACATGCTTGATGAGCGCCTGCATCTTGGCATTGAGGTCTTGGAGGTTGGTGGTAGGCATGATGGCAGGATGTATATGGTAATTCCGAGAATGAAAAGAATTGAGACTTGAATTGGATGTTTGTTGACGTGATGAAGCTGTTTGGGGCCAGGATTTCCCAGATAGGACTCCGTACTCCGCCCTCTTATCTCTTATCGCGCTACATCGGAGAGGGGAAAGAAAAACAGTCACTTTCTCCTAGTCTCTCCTCTTCCCTTTAATGTATAGGACAAGCCTCTCCTCCCAGTCCTTAAAACCAGTTTTACTTTCCATAGTCACCCACATCCGACCTCTAACAACCATGGCTCCCAACCCGTCAGCCTCGACACGGCAACCGCTCAAACTACTCATGCTCCATGGCTACACACAGTCCGGTAGCTTGTTCCACGCCAAAAGTCGCGCCCTGACGAAATCCATCCAAAAAGCCTTCCCTCTCCATGAAGTCTCCGCCATATACCCAACAGCCCCAATCCGCCTCCTGCCCTCCGACATCCCAGGCTACGAGCCCTCCCCGGAAAGCAGTCCAGACAACGAAATCGAGTCTTACGGCTGGTGGCGGCGCTCGAACACCGCAAACCCGCCGCTGTACACCGGCCTCGAAGAAGGGTTCGCGGCTGTAGGGCGCACACTGAAAGAAGAGGGCCCCTTCGATGGCGTGATCGGCTTCTCGCAGGGCGCCGCGCTAGCCGCTATGGTCGCGGCGCTGCTGGAGCCCGGCCGGAAGGCGTCATTCAAGTACTTTTCTCAAATAAGCACTGATGGCGCGGCGGGGATTGCTATTCCGGCGCCGTTCGACGAGGAGGAGTTCCAGCATCCGCAGCTTAAGTTTGCGATTTGTTACTCCGGGTTCAGGTCGCCTGGGGCCCGGTACAGGGCTTTCTATGAGGAGCCTGCTATTCAGACGCCGGTGTTGCATGTGCTTGGGTCTTTGGATGCTCTTGTTGATGAGTCGAGGAGTCGGGCTTTGATTGAGGCTTGTGCTGGTGAGCCTGAGAAGGAGGGGTTGGTTGTTTGGCATCCTGGTGGTCACTTCCTGCCAAGTCAGCGGCCGTATCTTGATGCTGCTGTGCGGTTTATTCGGGAGCAGATGGAGCGCAGTGATGGGTCAAGTGATAAGGTCAAAGAGGTGGAAGAGGATGTGAATGATATGGATTTGCCATTTTGAGGATGAGGACTTTGTATATAGACAAGAGTTTGATCTTTACTGGATTAGATTAGATTTTCTAGACTATGATTACATGTAGCACATATACCTACTCCCTTGAGAATAACGACTTGACGATTGCTACTGTTATGAGACTGAGACTGAGATTGTGTTGTGTATGTGTCATATAAAGGTCAATGCTGCGACTTCACTACTCATGGGTCTACCGGCGAATTATTTTACACGCGGTGGCAGTAATCCCCGCGCCCAAGTCCCATACACGCTTTCATCTCAAACCAACTCAATGCGCCTTGCCCATGTCGCTGCGAGTGGGCTGGATACGGGCCATCATCTCCTCCTTGGTGATCAGATGGTCGATCCGCTCGAGCAGACCCAGCAGATTCTTCATGTCGCTGCTCCACTCGTTCAGAACGTCATCGGCATCCCGGGGTTTGGCAAAGTTGACCAACCGCGCGGGTCGGTCAATCTTAGCGTAGATGGTCTTGGATGTGACCAGATCACTAATGTACTTCTCCGTCTCTTCCTCGGTCAGATCCAACAGCTGGGTCAGACGGCCCATCTGAATGCGAGTGTAGTACTTGGCCACTACACGGACATTGTGTTCGATAACCCGCTTCCGCAGGTCTTTCCACCTCTGGTTTGCTTGGTTCTCAGTAGACTGTTTCGCCTCGACGTCGAACACGTCTGTGTTGCACAGGTGGGGGCCGAACTGCTCGGCAACCATAGGCCAGCGCATCAGCTCGGGGATGGTGAACAGCTTCAACAAGCGGGATTCCTCGGGAACTTGTGACAGCCGCGAGTCTTGCTTGATGCGGTGCAAGAGGTCGGATTGCTCATTATCGTAGGGAGACAGGACAACGTAGTACACAATACGGGCAAGTGACTATATGCGAGTTAGTGATGGCGCACATTTTGAGATGGGAAAGGGTTACTTACGGCACGCAGGTGCTCTGGGTTGTTCTCGACTGCTTCCGTGTCCAGGACTTCCCGGTAGTTCTTGCAAACCTCGAGATATTTGTTATCGTGGTTGGCCAACGTAATCTGCTGTTCGAAGTAACGAAGCTTGAGATCTGTGACGTCGTCATCCACCTCCATGGGTGGCTCATCAGGCCCACGGGTCTTCTCTCGCTCCTCTGCCTCCTTCTTGAGCGTCTCGATCTGCTCAGCCGACTTCTTCGGCTTGCGGTTGAAGTACCGCTTGTTGATCTTGCGGCTGAGAATCTGAGCCTGGGTCCAGTCTCCGCGCTCAATACACAAAGAGACCTGCTCCAGGATGAATTCCGTCTTTTCCCGTCTCGTCATTGACCCAAATGTCTCCACCTGCAACTCACACAGGATGTCTGCTGCCGAAGTGAGATCACCTTGGGTCTTCTTGATATTTGAAAGGATGCGGGTAACGCGGGCTCGCTCTACTTCGACGAAGATCTTTGCGACAATTAGCACCACTCCGGACAAGATCAAATGGTTCTCGGCGTACCTTTCCCTCAGTCACTGTGCGCAGAGTTTCGATAACAGACAGCTTGACCTCCAGGCTAGGTGTCCCATCCAAGAATGTCATCACCGTCTGCACCATCTTCGTTGTGGCCTGCTTGAGTTGCGCATGTTTCTTAGATAGGAGCAGCACTTGGTCGTTCAGAAGGTTCCAGTCGCCGGAGTTCTTGCTGATGGTGACAATGGCAATCAGGAGTCGCGATGTAGTGGCAAGATCGGATGCCTGAACAAGAGAATCTTGATTAGTTTGGGTGGATCGGTAATGGGGATGGCACTCGGCCTCATACCTGTCTGGATTGCTTCTCCAGACCCAACAGCTTATCGACTGCTCCCTGGACATCGGTCTAGAACCATATATGTTAGCATCGGCTTGAATATGAATAAAGAGTCTGGATGTACCTTTGCAAGATCTTCCGCCTCCGGGATGAGCTTGTCAGCATCCTTTGTGAAGTCCTTCTCGGGCTTCAGCAGGCCACCGGACATGATGACGAATGAGGCTGGGGAGCCGGTGTGTCAATTTAGAAGATTAATAGGTTGGGTTGGTAAGAAATTTCTTTAAATACGTTTGTTGTACTTGACAACGTGAGATTTGTGGAATGGAAGAGGGTGATGGAGATGATGCTGTAGCTCCGGTATTGCGCGCCCTTACGAGCTGGAAGCTCCGTCCCACGTGACCGAAACATCACTTTGTCTTCCTGGGCCTTCTACTCCGTACTTCTAGTTACTTTGAAACATTCCCAGAAATCATATTCAATTTCTTCTAGATATTAAACATTTGAAGCAGAGGCAACAATCTATGTGTTATTGTCTGGTCCATATTTTTTGCTCATATAGTGCAAGATGCCATGAAGACCAATATATGACGCTCTAAGCCAGATTTTAACACCATCTCAATAACTGTCAGAAGTCTGCAAGCCTGTAAATAACAATCTTAGCAATATAAATCGTGTAAATCTACATTGTAAGCCTGGGTACAGAGTACAACGGGACATGATTGTGCGTGGCCTTTGGCTCACCAGATCGTGGTGTTTCCGGAGGACGAGTGTCTCTCTGCTTCCGCTACACGCTATACCTAGTTAGGATTGGTGTGAATCCGAGCAGATCCCGAACTATATCTAGACAAGTACATTCTTGCAAGGAGTCACGTATGATCAACAGAAGTACGATTAGATTAAATAGTAAAATAAACAGCAGTAGATACAATATAACTGTTTCTACGAACAAGAGTTCATGCATATCATCATCAAGTAGGGGCTTTGACTCGTTACATCCGGCTTGTTACACAATATGGAGTCTTGAGAGCAGAAGATAAAGATGCCATTGCTAGGAAGTGGTTAGCTAATAATATGTAGGTCATCCTGTGGCTTGTACCCGTAGCTAACTAACCAATAGCTGCTAACTGTGATATAATTTGAAGCGAAGAGGTGCCTAAGGAGTGCAATGTGGGAATCGGCATCCGCGCTGACTGGAAATGTGAAAGACGAGTTGTCCTAGTGGAAGGCTACCACAGATACCTTGTCATTAAATCGAAAGGTTGAAGAGTCAATGTATGCTGATCGGAGATGATAGGATGGAATTGTAAGATGTAAATGTTCGGCCGGAGTCGGGGCCCTTGAAATCGATGTTTACTCCACCACATATGAATATCGTTCTGTCAAGCTCCTGCCATCCATCTTGTCTTATGCGTAGCGTTCTGGGCACTGACAGTAGGAGCCCTGGGGTGGAAACGGAAAGTGAAGTGTCGTAGTTGTATGTCGCTTAGTCGTAGCTTGGGAAGGAACGCTGAAGAATCGTAGAAGGGGCGGGCGTTAGCAGGGAATGGAAAGGATATTAGAGGTCAGTACATATATATGCATACATACATAGGAAAAATTACTTCATCACAATGTTTCCATGTTTTAAACTACATGCTGATGTATAGGAAAGTTGTTATTAGGTAGGATGTCAGCTTTCCATTATCTTTTGTATTTTATGGCTAACCATTTTCATATTGAGCCAATGGATTAGACATTTATAGTTAAAGACCACGCACATATTTGTACTCGGCACTTCCAACTAAACTACTTCGGGTTTCTCGACGGCCTTATTTCCCCGGCATTTGAACTCACGTGACAATAAGCACGCAATTGCCTTTAACCGTTTTAGGCGATGAAGATGTATAGAAAAATTTTGGAAAATAGTTGTGTGTCTGCTAGATTTGCTATATATGAGTCAATGGTATAAGACCCAACCTCAAAGGACCTTCGTCTCTGACCCTTGATCACCCTCAAAATCAAAATTTAGGGCTTCCTGTCAATTGTACCAGGATCATCCCCCACTTCGATATCCTTATCGCTCCTTATCACCAATCGTGACAGGCCTTTTACTCAGACTTGATATTCGCCGCTTTCTCCGCGGAAGTCTAGAAGGTCACTTTATTGGGTGCTCTGTTGGTTAAATACGAGCTTCAATTCTCTTGAATCCTCGGGGCCCCAGAGCCTTCCGCAATTTGGTCTCTTTTACCCTTCTGAAACCGGCAGATATCTCATACTGATAGAGTCATTGGCGGGGCTTGGTATTTCATTCTACTATACTTCACCATGAGAGACGCCTCATGCGATCCCAGTTCACCCGCGCCATTGATGGCTGCGTGGAATACCGAATCACAAGTCCACTTGATTGTCGGTTCAAATCCTCTTGCCGCCGCTCGATGTGCCAGGAGCCTCGAGGTCGGCGCAAAGCCGATTATCATTGCGCCGGAGACCGATGACATACATTTCACTCTATCTGAACATATTTCCAATGGCTCTGCCCAATGGATTCGTCGTGAGTTTCAAGATAAGGACTTGACAACCCTGGGCAGAGAAGAAGTTGATCACATTGTGGACTTGGTCTTTGTCACTTTGGGTGGCAACAACTCACTAAGTACGACCTGCTTGCAAACGATTCCCAACCCATTGTTACTCACATTTCCTACCAGGCCCACATATATCGAAGCTCTGCCGGCGCCTCAGAATCCCAGTGAACGTATCAGATGCCCCCGAACTATGCTCCTTCACCCTACTTTCCACCTACTCAGACGGCCCCCTTCACATTGGAATCACCACTTCCGGTCGGGGGTGTAAGATTGCATCCCGGCTGCGGAGGGAGATTGCTGCTTTCCTACCCCAAAACCTTGGAACGGCCATCGACAGACTTGGTGCTGTGCGGAGGCGGCTTTGGGAAGAGGACAATGCTGCTGGGCTAGTGGAAGGCATATTTGACAGAGAGGACGACGATAGTACAGGCCAAAAGCACACCTTCAACAACTTGGTCACAGAAAGCGATGCTGCCGCGGCGAAAACAAGAAGGGTGCGTTGGCTGTCCCAGATTTGTGAATACTGGCCTCTCCGAAAGCTCGTGTCTATCACCGATGGCGATATGGATACCATCCTGCAGGCCTATACATCTGGTAATGCCACCACAAATGGGACAAATGGGCTTGATACGCCCTCAAAGAAGGGGAAAATCGTGCTCGCGGGCTCTGGCCCCGGTCACCCAGACCTACTCACCCGCGCCACCTACCACGCAATCCACAATGCCGACATCATCCTCGCAGACAAGCTCGTTCCCGCCCCAGTTCTGGACTTGATTCCTCGCCGAACTGAAGTCCACATCGCACGCAAGTTCCCTGGCAACGCAGACCAAGCGCAGGAAGAATTCCTCGTGATGGGTCTAGCAGCTTTGAAGCAAGGACGACAAGTCCTTCGCTTGAAACAGGGAGACCCATATCTGTATGGACGTGGAGCGGAAGAGTTCGAGTTTTTCAGAAAGGAGGGTTATTCCCCGGTCGTGTTACCGGGTATCACTAGCGCTATGAGCGCGGCCCTCTTCGCCGACATCCCAGCAACCCATCGCGGAGTCTCCGATCAGGTCCTCGTGTGTACGGGAACCGGAAGAAAGGGGGCTGCTCCAAATCCTCCCACCTACGTACCCACCCAGACTGTGGTCTTCCTCATGGCTCTTCACCGGATTTCTGCTCTTGTGGAGTCCCTCACTACCTTCCCGGCCGAAGACACCGGTTCGCAATCACGCACACTCTGGCCTAAGGAGACACCCTGTGCGATTGTTGAGCGGGCATCGTGCCCGGATCAGCGTGTCATTCGCTCGACATTAGAACACGTCTGCTTGGCGTTCGAAGAGGCAGGGTCGCGACCACCAGGATTGCTGGTGGTTGGTGCTAGTTGCCACGTGCTACACAATCCCCAAGGCCAGCGATGGGTGATTGAAGAAGGCTTCCATGGACTGGATGAAATCCGCAGCGAAGTGGATGCGATCGCTGTGTCAGTGGACGGGAAGCAGTGATTCAACATTTTATATATATTTCCGAGTGATAGTTGCAAATAGTGGAGCGTGATGTACATAGACAGCATTCAGATACCCCTAGAAATGAGACATGCATGATCATTGAAGATATCATTATTTGAAACCAAAACTAGTGTTTTGGAAACATAGGTAGACCATTGGTATGTAGTTATGTATACGATGTACACCTACACGGAGAAAAAGAAAAGAGTGCGGCTATAAATTAGTGGACCCCGGCCCGGCCATGTTGATCACTCCACCTCATTCACATCTTCAATTTTGACAACCATCCTCCCCCACAACCATGTCTGCCAGGCCCCAAAAGCCAGTCTATTTCTCTAACGGGGAGGCTCTCCAGAGGTGATTTTCTCCTTTACCTAAAACAACCAGAGACCCCAAACACTGACCAGCGCGTCCACAGCCCCCCTTTCAACGTGCGTCTCACCCGCTTTGTCGAGAGCATTTACTTCTTCCTCGGCCTGTACTTCACTACCCTCTTATCCGTAAGTATATCTTGCAAGCGTTATGACTAGCGACACCTTATTTTCATTTTGTTTCTCGTTTCCGCCTGTTGCTCTTTCATATTCCGCAAGTGGATCAATCTGACATATTTTAGCTCGACTCATACGCCGCCGCTGAGAACTCCTCTTTCAACATCAAGAACCAGGGCAGTAAATATACTACACGCTCTCGCTGGGGAGGCAGCACAACCCCATACGGCGGAGGGGGAGGTGGTGGCGGTGGAGGAGGCGGCGGCGGCGGTCCGGGATTCGGTCCGCGGCGCCTAGGACGTGTGGATGATGTCCGTGGGCCAGAGTGCAAGAGCTGCCAATAAGCAAACTCTCAAAGCTATTAAATCGCTGGTCAAATGTAGGCACAAGTGGAGAAAATACGCTTAGGTACTTGAGTTTGTTGTCTTCTTGGACAGGAAGCTTGTCATATGCAGTGCATCCTGCAATGCACTTTTGATATTCAGCGGAACATGGTACTTTGCTACAACAGACTCCGAAATATACATACACTACAAGTTGATACTCACCCATTGAACTGGATATGCCGCGAGTATTTACCGAAGGTGCAAGCCCCAAACACACACTAGTCCTTTAGCGCCACAACACCGCCTCTTCAAGGCCACATCGTGTCAATATGAATCACGGATCGTCATGATGATTCTAGAAGCGCCACGTGACATCCCCCTCTTCCCCTCTATGCCAAGTGTACTAGGCGACCTGAACACATTTCCAGAAGTAATCCCTAACTACTCCGGCGGCGTGCTCTCCAGCCGAAGGCACACTACACCGACCGCCCAGCATGAGTGAAATCCCATCGACAGACGCCGAATGGGCGGAGAAGATAGCCAACATGAAGAAGCAGCTGCCCAAACGTTCCCTTTCCCAGCCGCCAATTCCAACACAAATCAACCGCACGATAGACCACACCCTCCTAGTGACCCCAACGGACCCCACACAGATCGACAGTCTGTGCAAAGAAGCCCTTGAATACGAGTTCGCCGCCGTATGCGTACGACTTGAGCACGTCGCCCGCGCAGCAAGCCACGTCAAAGGCACGAAGACAGGACTTGCATGTGTGGTCGGCTTCCCGGAGGGCACGCACCCAACAGCCGAGAAAGTGCGCGAGGCCAAAGAGGCCGTAGCGCAGGGCGCGACCGAACTCGACATGGTCATCCGGTACAACCTGCTGAAAGAAGGCCGGTACACGGAAGTGTATGAGGACGTTCGTGCGGTACGCAACGCCGCGCCGCACCCAATTGTCCTGAAGGCGATTCTAGAGGCGTCTGTACTTGAGAAGGATCAGCTTATCGATGCGACGATCGTGTCGTGCATGGCCGGCACGGACTACATCAAGACAAGTACTGGCTGGAATGGCGGTGCGAGTGCTGAGCAAGTTACGCAGATGGGCTATGCGGCCAGTATGTGTGGGCGCACGTGCTTGATCAAGGCTAGTGGTGGTATACGCAGTGCTGCGGATTTATTGCGTATGCTTAAAGCTGGAGCGCAGCGCATTGGGACTAGTTCTGGGGTTAAGATTATGAAGGAGATTGATGAGGGGGAGGTTCTTGAACAGGGTTGTGGTCATGCCACGGCATGAACTTTTCTGAGATTCCCTGGAATATGTCTTGTGTGGATGGGTATGTTGTTGGAGGTTGGAGGTGGAGATTGAGAGCAGGTTCTTTTTTTTTTACTGTTCCGCAGTGCTCTATGCTGCTAACATAATGTGCATCCAATAAATCCTTAGTCTTTTTCTCGGGACCGAATATCTGTCTGTGTATGTGGTAGCTGTATAGATCTATATGCATCGACCCCCTGCGTATATATCCGACGGGAGGGGAATGGCGCGAGCAGCGGGATAAGCACCTGTATGATATACAAGGTTTGGGACCTTGCTAATCCAATTTGCCATAGAGACATGTCCTTGGTGAATGAGGAAAGAAGCTTGCAGAACTTCTCTGAGACAATTGGACCCATCCTTGCGCATCTCACCGTGAGAGCCCTGCATTACCGTTACCCCTTTGGGGTTGCCTCGTGAACACGACCCACCAGGAAATGAGACCATCCCATCCAGGGTATATTGAATTTGATATCATTTTTTTAAGAAAATACAAGACCCCTGTTTATTCAGATGATTATTGAAACAGTGTAGCTCATAGAGTTGGACATAGGCGGCCTGAACTGTTGTCCAATGAAAAGAACATACTTAGGGTTAATGGCTCGTCCATTCAAAGACATCGATGAGAACCGCCTCAAGACTATATGAGAAAAAAACATTTGGGAAAATTTAATTATACTCATATGCATAGTCATGAACGTGGCGGACATTTTTACATTTCTATATTATTGACCTGAAAGCTCCAAAATGATATAGGATATACTAATCCAAAACCGTGCGCCGATCCATTGACATGCCAACTAAAAGTGCAAAGCTTTTTTTTTATTCGTCGCTCTGATCATCCGAGTCACTGGTCACAGCACCATCAATGTCCATCTTTTGAATGACTGCATCACCATTGCGACCCTTCTTCTCTGCAGCGAGCCAAGCTTCCCGTTTCTTCGTCTCGTGCTCCTGCTTCCTTGCTTGCCGCAGGACCTTCTCCTGCTGTGCGGCCTCCTGCTTCTCATGCAACTCATTGATGTAATCCTGCAGATTGGCGAGTTCCGAGCGCATCTGTACAACTTCATCATCTGCATTATGGCGAGCAGTCTCATTCACCGCAACCTTCTTCTTGAGCACAGACACCTCGTTTTCTAGCTCGGTCACCTGCGAATCACGGGCAGCTGTGTCTTCCGCGATTTCCCTGGCGGGCCCGGTGCTGGGGCCAACACGGGTAACTTCCGCATTACTAGGTTGGCGGAATGCCGCGAGCTCTGCAAGACCATCTTCGATCATGGAGGTGGGGAAAAAGGAGTGAGTAAGCGCCCGAGAGAACTGGGTTGGTTTGCGGGAGTCGGATGGGGCGGTGATCTGCGTGTGGAACATATATTCTGCGGGGACGGCGCCAGGGGCATGGTTCGGGGCCGTAAGGCCACTATCATGGCGCGGCTTGACGATGGTGTGAGCCTTTCTCTTCAAATCCGAGGAAGGGTGAGGGATGCCACCCGGAGGGAGCATGACCAGGTTGGTGACCGGGTGCGTGTAGTCGGCAACTGATGTTGTGTACTTTCGTCGCGCAACATTCCAGGACAGTACCTTGCCATTCGCGTGGCCCGAGAGTAGCGTGGTCCCGTCATATGTAAGGGAGATTGTCTTCACTGAGCCTGTCTCAGCTGAGGGAGGGAGCCACCGATCTTCCATTGACACCTGTGCGGGTGTTGATTGTACTAAAGGATCATGAAGAGGATGCTGCGCAGACTGGCTCCGGTAGAAATCCACTGATTGGACGCTGCCATCTTCATATCCCACGTAGAAAGCCCGGTCAACCGGGTCTAGAGCCACTGATGTTGCGGATAAGGGAAGGAGGAAGGTTCTCAGCGCACGGCCGGTGTGATAGTCCCATGCGATCGCAGTGTTGTCCTTTGCGGTCGATACGACAATATTATGGCGGCCATTGCTATGCCCTACCGCAAGAGAGGTGATACCGGCGCGGTGGTTGGAGAAAGTTCGGATAGGCGAGTTCGTGGGTTGGCGGGTCGCGCTAAGAGCGGGTTTCGAGAACGAGAGAATTCCAGGCAAGGACCAAACATGTACACTGGCATCAGCGGAGCCGGACAGAATAAAGTTGGACGTCGGGTCGACAACGAGTGAGGTCACTGGCTGCAGATGGGATGCCGTGGTGGCTACTTGGCGTCCTGTGCACGTCTTGAAAAAAAAGTGTTAGACGCATGACATGGGGAAATGTATCGATAATATCCAACATACCTCCCAAACAATTAATCGACCACCCTCGGTGCCCAAAACCAAGACATCACCATACTTGCCCCCCGCGACAGCAATGCTGCGTATCCGCTCTGGAAATGGAACGACACCCTCTTGGTTACCCTTATCCCGGCTGTACACGTGAATTACAGCCTTGTCTGCTTGGGCTGTAAAAATATGAGAGGGGCTGACAGCTAGACAATTGGTCAAAGTTGAGCTCTTCTTGAAAGTTGATCGCAGTATCGACGAAGGCTGCAATTCGTGGACGCAGACTCCTACATCTCTGAGTGAGGCTGTCGGAGATTTAGCGGATGACACCGTCGACGCCACAAATGATTCGGAAAGCATCAGGAATGGAAGAATGAGGCTGTCATACAAAGTATGGGAGGTTGGTTTCGAAGTTGGCCATTCCGAGCTTTTTTTTTCTCTATCGATTGATAACGAGATGTTTGCACTGTTTGGACTACAATCTCCGACCTCCAGCCCTGAGAGAACATCCACGGGCCTTGTGTGATCTATCCTAACCAATTTGGCTTTCTAACTAATGCAACCTTCTAAAGATATCCCCGATCTGTCTTCATAAATAGACAGGGGATTGTTTCGAATACATCTATCAACTAACTGTGCCGTGTTTTAGCGTTAGACTTGTCGGGAGTTCGATCTATCAATCTTAGTCAGCCCCATCTGCATCAACCGAGCTCAGCTAGTATGAGGGATCATCTTGCGCCAGTCTATCAATCGAAATGACTGCTATTTTGTTAAGTTATTCAGACTAAAATTGGGCGCCCAGGACGATCAATCTAAGCCCTCACTAGGCATTTATATCCAAACCTCCATAAATTATGCTGATATGTACAATAACACCAGTATGAACTAGATGTATGCAAGGGATATCCCGGAAGGGATGGATTGCTGTTGCGACGAGACACAAGATCCAATGGAGACCCGCTTTAATACACCCTCTGGCTGATCCTGTTGCCCTTCACGAGTACCTGATTCGACATGGCTCCTTTCTCCCCCCTCTTGCATCGCAGATGTCTCATTCCAAGTGCCCAGTCGGAACCTGGCTATGACGAGTTGAGGCAACGGATGGGGCCTCTCTCCACGTTGACGGGCTCCCGCAGGACGAAGGATTGAGATCTGGAGCCAATTGTTATCCATTGTTGTCCTGGTTTCTCATCTTCTTTGGAATGCAAGGATGACCCGACCTCATTCCCACTATTATTACCCTGGCCCGTGCCTAGCACAACCTGACTGCAAGTGTACGTGCCAGGCGACGGACCCTCTTTTCACTCTCGAAGGGGGAATCGCTTCGTTGAACATTTTCGGGCTTTCATGGCAGGGTTGTAGTCCTGTCAAGGGATGTGCACTTGAGCCTGATGACCATACCCACCTTAAATTAGCTGACTAGCGCCATAGTCGCTGTATAAGGGTATATCGAGCCCCTTGAGGTCTATTTGTTTTGACTTCAACAATAAACAAGCCGGATTGCAATCTCATCTGGTTTACTGTCGTGCAACACATTTTGCCTTTTTTTTTTTTTCCTTCAACCTTTCAGACCAGGATACTTACTTTCAGCCGCGAATACCATTGTCCAATATGGCCTCTGGTGCGACAGAGATGCCTAACCATGCCTGCTTTCCGGCCCGGATTCAAGCGCATATAAAAAACCAGGGCTCAAACTCGTCCTCGCTGAGCCACGATGTGATGGCAATGGCCGAGCCCGAGCCCATTCCATCACCGCGCCGATGGTCTCCCACCTACATACCCCGAAGACGAAGCAGACAGATGCCCTCACTATCATTTATACCGTCACCAGTAATGCCGCGCATAGAGTCGCATGACTTTTCGACCTCATCATCGCGGCGTCCCACAGATCGAGGGCCAGCTTGCATGTCGCCCTTCCGCTCGGTTCGAAGAATGAAAGAACCATTTCAATTAATGCTTCCGTCATCTCCGGCGTCCCTCGATGGCCCTCCTCCAAACTTTCCTGAAAAGCCAAACAAGCTATCGAAAGCGCCGGCCGATCACACATTACGAACATGGCGCTCAGACCAAAACCTGACTTGTGGGAGCTTGGAAGCATTCGGCCTTCTACCAAGCCCGCCTATTACAGAATCACGCCCTGCAAGCACCGGTCCTGAGTTATCTTACTTTGATTCACATTCTTCGGAGGGATCAGGCCAATCAAATGAGGGGAAGGACGAAAAGAATGAGTCTGGTACCTCTCAGCCGGATGTTTCTACCACGGACGCCACACTGGAAATCGGGGAAAGGATACAGTACACAGCGTACCGCCCCCCAGACTGGAGCAATAAACCGCGAACCGATGTCATGAATGTTCATGAAGCTCACTCAGAGTTCGTACGCCAGTGCGAGTCTGGCAATGAACAGGAGTCGCAACCGCAATCTCCGAACGAGCATGCACCTTTCCAGGAATCCCCGAAACCAGTCCATACCGAGCAAGGCCTTGTCCCTGGAAGCTCACCGAGACCCCAACGCCCTCGGACTGGGACAGTATCGAGTGAAGCAAGCTGGGTGCCGAGTAACTTCTCATACTGTGAAAGATGGCTGCAAGGTGTCCCCGTTGATAAGGTGAATGATAATACACCTACGAAGGAGTTCACCAATCGGCGGAAGTTCCAGATTGTTGAGAACGACCCTCCAATGCCGAAGCTCGAAATAATCCCCGGAGCAAAAGCCCTTGAAGAACCTGTGGTAAGTCCAGGGATTTGCTA